TATCGAACCGTGACACCAAAGTATCGAACCGAACCGTGAATTTTGTGTATCGTTGCACCCCTACTATCTATCGATCTATCTATTGATCTATCTATCGATTGATCTATCTATAGATATAGATATAGATATAGATATATCTATATACCATAATAATCTGACAATACTACCAACATGAGCTAATTGTTATTTACTAACTAATCTTTATATGACTGTTCAGCACAGAAATGAAGCCCAACAATCATGTTTTACAGTCCTGTGGTTTCAGCCTCAGATACTCAACTAATCAAAGTGATGTCATGACAAAAATGAATGACCAACAAAACATTTTTTCTCCTTCATTTCTGTCAAACAAAGCTGTATGAAACATTACTCGCGGTTAGTATCATGGTTGCTAGGCAACCTGAACAGCGCAACGAAGGCTAGACCGTCCCATTTCACACGCCTCTCACTTCCGCACTTCTCGTACTTATAGTACGTAGTACTTATAGTAGTACTACGTACTACTATAGTACTTATAGTACACACACACTACGTACACGTAGTGTGTGTACACTGTGTCTCTTGGCTGTGTCTCTTGGCTGTGTCTCTGAATTGGGACACAGCCATGGTCTTCATTATTAACTCACATCAGCTGGCTTACAAGGAAAAACACCTTGCTTACTGGTTATAGTTCATGAGGTGGATTGGGTCATCTACTAATCATAAGGTTGGTAGCTTGATGGATGCACCACAAAGCAAATTTGGTTTAGTATCTTACCCAAAGATATTTGGCTGGAGGAGACTGGAGGAGCCATGGCTCAAAGTGTGAATGTGTGTGAATGTTAGATGTAAAGCACTTATGTTGAAAAAGCATATGAATGAATGAGTGAATAGGGCAACTTGTATAAAGTGGTAGTCTATCAGCAGCAACCAGCCAACCTAGTGATATCACATTCTGGCATTAAATATAATCTAAAATATTGAAATTAATGCTTATATCAACACTTGTTTCTTAAATATAGCTTCAGACAATGTTATATCTATATCTAGACTTTTTTAAGATTAGGGCTCAACGGTGGAAGTTAGCCTTTATAAATGTGGTATTTTATGTTCACTTTAATTGTAAAACAATAAAGGTATGTAATATTTTTAAAGTATAACAAATCTTAAAGTAAATATAAAAATCATCTTGTTCTTGTGTAACTGGAGATGTTAAGACTGTGCAGAGTCCGGTGATTCTGTACCAGATCTCTGTGCAGAGTCCGGTGATTCTGTACCAGATCTCTGTGCAGAGTCCGGTGATTCTGTAGCCAATTTCTGTGCAGAGTCTGGTGATTCTGTAGCCAATCTCTGTGCAGAGTCCGGTGATTCTGTAGCCAATTTCTGTGCAGAGTCTGGTGATTCTGTAGCCAATCTCTGTGCTGAGTCCGGTGATTCTGTACCAGATCTCTGTGCTGAGTCCGGTGATTCTGTACCAGATCTCCCATTCAATTCTATGATGATGCTAGGAGCTGTTCAGTTTAAATATTTAATAATAAAAGGAACAGTATTAGTAAAATTATTTATTTAAACCCCAGAATGCATGGCAGATCAGAGAAAAATAACATTGTACTTACAAGGTGATGGATGGCTTTCTGAATTAAAAGGGAAAAACATCATTTAAGTTTTTGCCACTTTTTTAAAAATCTGACAATTAAACTTTATTTGTGTATTTCTCAAAAATAATGTAACTGAGTATTGCACTGCTGCTATCATTTGACTGGGAAAGTCTGCTCATTTCAATTTCTTACCTTTCTTTTTTTTGTAAGCAACAATTCCAATGGCAACAATGATGATCAAAACAAGAACAAAGGCTGCAATAATGATGGGCAACTCTGCACAATTTAAAAAAAAAAAAACATGATAAAAGTGGCAGATGAAGCAAGTTAAAATAGAAATACATTTATTCCACAGTATTAATAATTACATATTTATTGTGAACATATTGTGCGTGTATGTGTATATGTATATATACATATATGCATAGATAGATAATAGGGGTGCAACAATACACAAAATTCACGGTTCGGTTCGATGCTTTGGTGTCACGGTTTGATAT